CCATGTAAGCTTCACCCCGCCTGCATTTTGCAAATAGTCCATCAACGGTTTCCATTCTTTAAGGTAGGAATTGTTTGAGTTGTCTTCTAATAAGCAAGTCAGTTTGTCATTTTCTGCCATGTCCATCAGTTTTAACAACCTTCTTGCATTGTTGGTAGTGTCTGGGTTTTCCAAAATTGTGCATAAATCATTGCGACTTATTTTTAAATGCCCAAATGGGATATGGAAATATTCTCAAAATGTCTTCAGAGTTTCCCTGCAGTCGGCCCCCGCTATCACTCGGTTTGAACTGCCTCGATTAAGAGGAAATTGGTTCATTAATTGCATTTGTTAGAGTGATTTTCATTCAGGGCTGCCAGGCAACTTCCATAGCACTCCTCCCTCCCATTTCCCCCCACAACAACAACCCTGTGAGGTAGACCACGCTGAAAGAGAGAGAGTGTCTGGCCCAAAGTCACCAAGGGGAGCTTCCATGGACATAAAGCCGGGTCTTTCCAACACCAGTCCAACACCCTAACTACTACACCACACTGCCTCTCCCTCGCAATCCCTGGTTTACACAACCCGGGCTCTTTTGGAGTCTTTTTCCATCTTTTTAACCAAGCAAATTATGATTTCACATTCTAGAAGGTCGAGTTCCTAAAAAAAAGCCTATGTATTTCTCGCCCAACCCTAACGCCAGGGAGGTTAATTTTTTTCATGGGGGGGGAGTTGCACGCAAAGGCATTTATCATTTTAGGGGGTTGTGGCCCTGCAAAGTTGCAAAACTCGGGGTGTGCAGGGCCTCGATTGCAAATCAGGAGTTGGGACACTCGGCGTGGTAGTGAGAAATCGGGAGCGTGCATGGTGTGTGAAAAGCAGGAGCTCCCTTCTCTGTCTCTTCCTTGAAGAAGGGAATCTATCTTTGGGGTGGGGAAAAATACCACGTGGCTTAAAAAAAAAGTGATTTTCTCTTTCCTCTTTTTTCCTCCGGCATCACCCCGCATCCTCGGTAGTGGGATCTAGTTTGTTCTTCCCGGACGCTAAAGCAAATGGCACAGTCGGTTTACATGGCTGGTGTTTTAGTCGGTGGGATCTTATTCGGAGGCCTCTCGGACAGGTGAGGGACGGGGGGAGGCAGCGGATTCGAAATCCAAGCCCCCAATGATGTGAATTGAAACTGCCTAGCTCAGCTCAGCCTGGCAACCCGGAAATGCCTCTGGGGCACGCGCAAAGTGCAAGGGTTTTTCTTTCTTAAATGCATTTGGCGTGCGCCAATTTCCTAAGCGCAGTGCAGACTCAGGATAAAAGGAGCAATTAATGTTGTAACACGCCATGGGGATAATTAACCTTAGCTTCCCTCTGACCCACCCAGTTTTGCACAGTAGTGTCTCACTGAATGACTAAGTAAAATATTTCTATTAATATTTACTCCTCTTTAGAGGGCTAGGTTGCAACGCTCGGTGCTAAACCTGCTAAGTGGGATAAAGCTCACGCACCTCCCTTCTGGAGAGACATGGAGAAAACGAAGTAAAACATCCAAAATGTCTCCCCAAAGCTGGGCCTTTCTGCCCTACAACTTTCCAAGCCGTGCCGAAATCAGTCCGGCTGTTTTCCGGCCGTGCAAAAGAGGCTTCCGTTTTTCTGTTTTCTTCCCAGTAAGCTTGAGGATTCCTTTCAAATTCCTCTTAGTGGGGTTTTGGCGCTGAGTTTCCTGTAGGAAGCGTGACTGTTGGTGCGTCACTTTCCGGTTGCTCCACAGCCTTCCTGCCTGCTCACTTTTTGCAATTGGGGGGGAAACACTCAAACTCTGAAGGGGTTCCTTCCTTGGATTGAATGGAACAGGGAGGCTGCATAGCGCTGGGGAAAGACACATACGAAGAAAGACACGTTTGTCCCTGGGACTCCTTGTTACCAAATTAGTGCAAGAATGCCATCGTCCATCCAGAATTTCACCAACGTTCTCTTTTCCTTTGCAAGAAATTTCAGAAGTCAATTTTCTCGCACCCGATTGAATGAGAACGGGGAAGGGAGGCAGAATTTGAGCCCAGTCATTCATTCCTACCGTTCTCTTTTCTTCCCATTTTCCTTCTCTTCGTCCCTCCTTATCTGTTTCTGCCTCTTGCAGGTTTGGACGCCGGCTGATCCTTTTGTGGTGTTACCTGCAGCTGGCCATAGCTGGCACAGCGACCACGTTTTCCCCCAATCTCAGCGTCTACTGCGCCCTTCGCTTCCTCACCGGGATGGCTTTCTCAGGCATTGTGCTCAACGGCGTCTCTCTGTGTGAGTCCCTGGGATCCTAACCATCGCCACGCAATCCACCTCGCCTGGTTTGGGCCCATCTGGCGTTTGCCGGTTTGCGATCTGTAAACAGAGCCTCCATATTCAGGAGCAGCAGGCCATCAAGTTAGCTGTGCCTGGAGAGCCCCAAAGGGAGGGGGAGGTTGCTGGGTTTATTTGAAGACACACACGCACGCACGCACAGGCACACTCATAGATGTGTAATTGTGATCTGAAAACACAGCGGGAGGATCACAAGATCATAAAAGTGGGAGGGAATTTGAATGCCCCCGTGATTGCCTCGTTGCTCAGTGTGGGATCTGCCCGAGGCTGATAAGCTTCCCAGACAGACGACTGCCTATAGGAAGACATCTTCCCCTGTTGAACTCACTATTAAGGTCCCAAGTGGGGTTGCTAAATGAGGACTACCAGTATTTGTGGTGATTTTATGGAATGTGACTGCCGTGAACAATGAGAATTTACTGTACCAATTGCTGCATTGCCCTCAGGATATGCCCAAATGACCCCCTTGGGGTGATTACAGTAGTTCCCAGTTGACGAGTGAGTTCTGTTCCCAAGATCTGTCCGTAAGTCGAATTTGTCTGTAAGTCGGAACAGTATGATTGTACAATACTGTCTAAGTAGTATCGCGTAATGAACTCGAACCCTTGTGTATTGAACATAAATCACTGTGTATTTAACTCAAATTTTTCTGCAGTAGGCTCTGATTGCTATGGGTCGTCCGTAACCCAGGCGTCCATAACCCGAGGACTACCTGTACTCCCAGTTTAATTACTCCCAGTTTACTCCTGCTGCCCTAAATGCTAAGTTCCCCATTTTACTTCTCACCGAGAACTCTGAATGCTGGTCCTGCTCTTCCCAACAGGCGTGGAGTGGACGCCCACCAGGACTCGCCCCGTGCTGGGGGCCCTCAACGGCTGCGCATACACCACCGGGCAGATCGTCTTGGCAGGCCTGGCGTATTTCCTCCCAGACTGGCGCCATTTACAGCTGGCTGTGTCTCTACCTTACTTCTTCTTCTTCTTTTATTCTTGGTAAATGGAACACGGGGAGTGGGTCGGGGGGGCAGGAAACGGCCATCTTTCCCACGACCCCTTCCTCGTTTTCCTGGGACTCTCGGCCGCGCAAACACGTCGACCTCTCGGATGATTGAGGAAACGTTTCACTGAATTCCTTTTTTTTGAAAGAAAGATTTTAATTCCATCTTTAAAGTCTTAAAAGCAGAAACAAAAAAGTGGGGTGGGGGGGAGAAGAAGATAAAATCAGGAATCTTGGGAGCAGCCAAGGGGGAGGTCAAAAAAGTCAAGATGGCATCCATGACAGTGTGATCGAAGCTCCCATTAGACACCCCTGGGGGAGCCATAGAAACGTCCATGTATTTTTCTCGGCAATCATAGGGAAATAGTTCACCACTGCCTTCTTCTAGCATGTCTCAATCCTAGACATCCTCCAATCTGATGTCCAGCTCAGGAGTGGTGGTCTCCTGGTGGTCTCCTGTCCAATTGCTAACCACATCGAAACTGGTGTAGCTAGCTGGAAGCAGCCAAGACTGGCCTGGTGTTACCCCCTGTTGAAACTAACAGGAGGATACAACTTAAGAAAATAAAGCAAATCTAAAAGAATAAAGTACAATAAAATAAAATAAAATAAAATAAAATCAAAACAAAAAATAACTAATATACCCAAACTCCAACATGCTTAGAGAAGTCACTGGTCTGATTTTCTTATTGATGTTCCTCCATCAATGAAAGCCAGTCAAGAATCTGATTGAATCTGAGAAGTCTCTACATGCTCAGGAACCCTATTTCATGAGATTTCCAGACCAGGAACCCTATTTTATGATAGGGTTCCAGGCTACCATTTAGAACCCCTTTTTAAGTTTTTCTGCTTTATAGCAGGAAAAATTGGAGTGTGAGAGGAGAGGCCGTTGGAGGCAAGGCCCCTATCCTGTCCCAAATTTTAGCCTTCGTGATGACGCGTGTTAATGCAGCAGTCCTCAGTGGGGAAACGAAAGACTCAATACCAGGTTTCCAAGTCCTGGTTCATTTGCAAAGCTGGAAACTGTAGTATTACCTGGCAAACAGCTGGGTAAGGATCTGTAAGCCTCAGTCTGGATCTCATTGTGGTGTCTTTTCCTTTCCTCCATCCTTTGTCCCCACAGGTGGCTTTCCGAATCAGCTCGCTGGCTGATTATATCTGGGAAACTCGAGCGGGCCGTGACAGAGCTGAAGAGGGTGGCCAGAATAAACAGGAAGCACGAAGCTGCTGGAAAGCTGGATGCAGAGGTGAACTCACAAAAGACGCCAAGATTCGTTCTGTTTTCTTTAAATAATTGCGTCTTGCCTTCTTCACAATCCTGTGAGGCAGGCTGGGGTGAAGGAAAAGTGGCTTGTGGTCGCCTGCAGCCAGATGGGGTTCAAAGAGCCTGCGGTTCCTTCAGTACCAGTAGTTATCCGGACAGAAAAGTCCATTTCAAAGATTTGATTCTAAGGAGATTTGATTCAGTCCACTCCGATTTGATTTGATTTGATTTGATTCGGTTCAGTTTCCTTTCCAAGTTGGATGGACTTTGCAGACCGCACTGCCAAACTGAATTAGGTTCCTCCAAACTAATCTGACTATTTTCACTGATCCAGTCTGATGCTTCAATTTTCTGACATGATCTGAATCAAACCGGTGACTCGAATCTGATTGGAGTCAATCTTTATTTGGTATTGGCCCCAAAAGCAGAAAATCCGGACAGAAACCATTGTAATAACTTGATGCAAGGCTGAAGGGAATGATTTCCTGAACCTGATGCCCTGTTCGATCTGTTGGCCTCCTGGAAACCCGACAAATTTTCATTAAAACCCCAAAGCAAGGTGCTAGTCCTTATGACATTTTCTTTTCTAAGGGCAGGGGGAACTGGTTGAAATCTTTAAAAGCAAAGTGGCTTTTTATAGTAGCAAGTGCCATTCTGACTTGAAGCCCCCTTGCAGAAATGGAATGGCCATTAAGGCAGATATATAAATATCTTCAATTAGTATCATATTAATATCAGTCCTGGGGGCCTCTGGTCTTTTGTTAGCCTGGGCAGCCCCCTTCTCTAAAGAGGCGTTTCTCCAGAGGTGTTGGACTACAACTCCCATAAATCTGGATGGGAACTGTAGTCCTACCTACGTGGGGTTTTGCATTGCTTTCAAGCTCCCCCCCCCCCC